TTCGAGACAGGGTTTCTCTGTGTAGCTTTGCGCCTTTCCTGGAGCTCACTTGGTAGCCCAGGCTGGCCTCGAACTCACAAAGATCCGCCTGGCTCTGCCTCCCGAGTGCTGGGATTAAAGGCGTGCGCCACCACGCCCGGCTCTACTTTTAGATTTTTAAAGAGATGTTTTCTTTTAAAAATTATTTTTATAGTGTGTGTGTGTGTGTGTCTGTCTGTCTGTCTGTCTGTCTGTCTGTGTCTATATGTGTGTGTAAGAGGTCGGAGGATAACTTGGGAATTGGTTCTTTCCTTATACAATGTGGGCATCCAGGGATTGAACTCAGGTTATTAGGGCAAGTGTCTACCCATTGAGCCTTTGAGCTGGCCCTTAAACTTATTTTTTATTTTTATTGATATATGTGTATGGGTGCCTGTGGGTGGCCAGAAGAAGGCATAGGATCTCTTGGAATTGGAGTTAAAGGTAATCGTGAGCAGCTTGACAAGGGTGTTTGGGAAGTGATCTCTGGTCCACTTCAGGAGCAACAAGCACTCATAACAGCTGAGCCATCTCTCAGCCTCTGTTTTTGTTTTTGGAGATAGGGTTTTACTGTAGCCTGGGCTAGCCTGAAACTCACTCTGTGACTCAGGCTGGTCTTGAACTTACAGTAATCACCCTGCCTTATCCTCCTAAGTGCTGAGACTGCAGCATAAGCTCTGTATGCAGCTTCATAGCTCCGTGTCTTTCACATGAACACTGACAATGGTACAATTCTTTCTGCCTACCCTTCTGTTGCAGAAGCAAAACCAGCCCCAGAAATATTTGAAAATGAAGTCCTGGAACTGCTGAGAGAGTTTGCGAAAAACAGAAACAAAGAGCAGAGACTGCGCGCCCCAGATCTGGAATATCTCCTTGAAAAACCTCATTAGGTTGTGTGCCCCTTCTGTCATGGTGGTCAGTATGTGGACAGAAACTGCTTCTGGTACAGACTTTGGCTTCCTGCTTTTCCTTAGGCCCTTGAAACTCTACCAGGACAGACATGTAATATGAAGATGATACACTCATTCTAACCTGCACTTGTCTGTACAGCACCGACCGATCGACCCCTTCTCCAGCTGCTATGTGCTGTGGTGCAGGTCTGCCACAAGAGGGCACTGTAGGGGAAGCAATTCAGCTGCCTCAGCCCCGAAAGTACAAAAGATGCAGCTGCTATATGAAGAGCCACCCACCCCACCCACACCCAGTGCCCTGGCCTTTGTTAAGGTAAAACTGCCTCCTTCCAACCTTGTGTAGTTCTTTCTGCCAGAGAAAGCCAGTCCAAGCCGCCGAGCTGAGCCTGTCAAAGGCATAGCAGGCTGAATGAGGGCCCCAAGCTGGAATGGTGTGAGCACCCTGCTTAAGTCAACATCCGAATCAGATTTTCTTCACAGCACGCACTTTGTAAAGATAATTGAATATTGAAGGAGATCCAGAGAAGGAAATTGACAGTTCTCTAACCCTTCAATAATTATCTTCATTTGGTCTGTTCTGTGCAGCCATAGTAATCTTATAATGGGGTTTTACAAACCTTCAGGTTTTCTGGCCTTGCAGCAGGCACTGGGCAAATTTTTCCTCTTATTGCTACAGCCTTTAAAATTATTTTAGTTGACCAAATAATGATGACACTTAAGAAATAACTTGTTAACTGGGTGTCATGGGTCATTCCTGTAATCCTAGCCCTTGCGGTCTGAGGTAGAAGTATCACCAAGAGTTTGAAGCCAGCCTGGGCTCTAAAGTGAGTTTGAGGCCAGCCTGGACCACACTGTTAGAGTGAAGTAGCTGGGAGGCCTGTGCGTTGCTGAAGGTGTTCTCTCTCTAGGAGCTCTGCTGTCAGCTGAGGAGAGGCAGGTATCGGCCAAGAAGTGAAAGTGATGGCTGGAGAAAAGCAGGCCAGAACTGATGAACATGGGGTTGGTAACTGCTGCAGGCAAAGAGGAAAAAAAGAGTTCCCTGGCCAGAGGAGGAAATGGGGAAACCAGCCTTCGGTTACCTCTTAGCACTCCCACGGACAGGTGGCATTAGGCCTGTTTATAGAGAAGAGAGTTGCCTTGGAAGAAGTCAGTAATACATTCTTTATCAAAAAGCCAGAATTTGGGGCTGGAGAGATAGCTCAGTGGTTAAGAGCACTGGCTGGCTGCTCCTCCAGGGGACTCAGGCTTAGCTGTTAGCACCTACATAGTGGCTCATAACTGTCTGTAACTCCAGTTCCAAAGGAGCCAATGCCCTCTTCTGGTCTCTGGGCACTGCATGCACATGCTACATGGACAAACGTGCAGGCAAAATGCATAGAATAAAGTATGGGTTGGAGAGACGGCTCAGCAGTGAAGAGCACTGGCCGCTCTTCCAGAGGACCTGGGTTCAATTTCCAGCACTCACAAGGCAGCTCACAGCTGTCTGTAACTCCAGTCCCAGGGGATCTGATATCCTCACACAGACATGCATACAGATAAAATGACAAAGCACCTTAAAATAAATAAATCATAAAAAAAATAAAAAGAAGGGCTGGAGAGATGGCTCAGAGGTTAAGAACACTGACTGCTCTTCCAGAGGACCTGAGTTCAATTCCCAGCACCTACATGGTGGCTCACAACCATCTATAATGCAATCTGGTGCCCTCCTCTGGCCTACAGGCAGAACACTGTATAATAATAAATAAATAATAAATAAATCTTTAAAAAGTAAATAAAAAAAGAAAAACTAGAATTTATTACTGTTTGATTTAGCTTTCTACTAGATAACAGGGCTTCTTCACTTCTGGACATTTCACTGGAAAAGAGAAGGCAAGTAAATAAATAACAGTCTGAGACCCGAGGTCTGTGGTGAGTAGGCTACCACCTACTTCCCAAATGAGGGCATTCCCTCACCTTGGCCACCCAGAACAGCTCTGGTAGGGGAGGAATGTTGGGGAATATTATTTTAACTCTGTGAAGCTGTGTTACTGTGCCTGTCTAAAACACCTGATGGGAGCCGGGTGGCAGCGGTGCACACCTTTAATCCCAGTGCTCGGGAGGCAGAGCCAGGTGGACCTCTGTGAGTTCGAGGCCAGCCTGATCTACAGAGCAAGATCCAGGACAGGCACCAAAACTACACAGAGAAACACTGTCTCGAAAAACCAAAAAATAAAATAAAACACCTGATGGTCTAATAAAGATATGAACAGCCAATATCGAGGCAAGAGAAAGGATAGGTGGGGCTGGCAGCCAGAGAGAATAAATAGGAGAAATCTGGGAGGAGGAGAGAAGGAGCCTGAGAAAGAAGAGGACTCCAGGGGCCGGCCACCCAGCTACACAGCAAGCCAGGAGTAAGAAGTAAGATTTACAGAAGTAAGAGAGTGGGAAAAGCCCAGAGGCAAAAGACAGCCGGGTTAAGTTAAGGAAAGCTGGCTAGGAACAAGCCAAACTAAGGCCGGGCATTTGTAATAAAGAAGAAGCCTCCATGTGTGATTTATTTGGGAGCTGAGTGGCGGGCCCCCCAAAAGAGCAAAAACAAATAACAACAGGAAGCAGTGCAGCATGATGGTTGCAAGTTCAAGCCTTCCCTTGATTGCTTAGCTCCTGAATAAACTCACTGGCCTAAGCTTTGGTTTCTAACTAAAGGGAGTTTTAACACATAACAGTGGGATGGCTCCTGGTACAGAGGGCACCATAGGATGACAGGAGTCTTTTCTTGTAGCCTCGCCCTGAGACTTAGAGCCTGTCTTCTAACAGATTGCCTATCGTCAACTGCATGCATACATGCAGGGCAGTTTCGTCGGAAGGTCAGAAGGCTGAGCCTATTAAAGTAACCACAGAATGCCTTACCAACCAGTGGAAACTGGAAAGGAAAAAAAAAAAACTACCTTGGTGACAAGTCCTTTGATGGAAAAGTATAGCTTTCACTTAAGCAAGGAATGGGAATGAGACCTAGGGAGTAGAAGCAGGAGGTTACAGAGGTGCTGGCCCTTTGCTTGGGCTTCTGATGTCCCTGGGGGGGGGGGGCGGTGCTAAACAGACAGGGTTTATATATAGAAACATCTGGACTGTAAGGAGTGCACAGGAATTGCTAGCACCTTCCTTATTTATCCTGAGCACCTTATACAACAAGCCCCAGAAGCCAAGTGTCGGCTCTCCTCAACTCTGATCCCCTCTTACCCTCATTTTGTCTCATTTCACAGTGTTCAGTTGCTGTCACTTGCACCTGAGAAGGGCATGCTTCTAAAGGGATTGTTTTCCTTCCAGGCTGCTGGTTTGTGTAATCTTTGAAAGTGAAGGATCTTGCTAACTTCAGCTGCTCAGTGTCAAGCCCAAGGGTGCTATGTAAACAGTTTTCCCCTTTGTTGGGCATTAAGGAAAACTAGGCCGGCCACAGTGCATTTTCAAAAAAATTAATAAACGTATCACCAGGGCCAGCAGCTCCCCAGGAGCCACAAGAAGCACCAGCTAGATTCATTGTTTTTAGTTTGACATGTTGCTCACTGACCTCATTCAACCCTGCATCAGGCACATGAGCCTCTGACCTGCCGAGAGGTCTGCAGTGGACCTGTGGGTCCCCTTACACAGGCTTCTCTGGACACATCAAACCAGGTCAGGGCTGCTTCCTTCCCATCAGATCCTCCCTTCATTGTTTTAAGTTGTACCCAGGCTTTCCCTGGTGGGTGAGTGTCTCTTGTGGCTGCCATTGGAGAGGCACCTCTTACTGACTTGGAGCACCAGTTGGAGATCATCCACTCTCTTTCTTCAGCTTTCACTAAGGCAGCAGTGGCACAACATGGCTTATATTTTTAAGCATCAGTGGGGAAGGAGACTCCTCTGAGATAGTTGAGAGCTTCACATTTATCCTTCAATCCATCTGCACTTTGTGGCTAGACAGGGAGAGGAGAGCTTTCTAGTAAGTAAGCCCAGAGCCAGGTAGAGTGCCACTCACCTGTAAGCCTAGCATTCAGGCAGCTGAGATAGGAAATAACTGTGAGTTTAAGGGTTAGCCTGGGCTACATAGTTAATACCAGCCCAACACAGGGTTATGGAATAAAGCTCTATCTCCAAAATCGAGGTGAAGAGCAATTGAAGACACTAGATGTCAACCTCTGGCCTTTACATACATGTGTGCACACCCATTCACACAAACACACATGTTTGCATGTACACTAGCACTGATGAGCACAACCATTCATACACAAAGGTAAGTCAAACAGCCTAATATTATAAGGTCAGTGAGACTGGGAAGCTGAAAGTCCCCCTTGTTAGTACAGCCCATCATTTGTAGGATACTGAACTTTCTTGTCCTGCAGCTAGCCACTTGAGACTGTTCAAATGCCAGCCAAGGCACCTGGTGACACCCGAGTTTCCCAGCAAGCTCTGTGGGGATGGGCTGTGTAAGCATCTATCCCCATCCAGTAAAGCAGCATGGGTGGATGGGTAGCTTCAGATAGGGGCGCTCTAGTTTTGAGAAACAAACATCTAGCCACACCTGGTGATGCATATGGACCAGCCTGGGTGTTGCAGTGAGATCCTGTTTCCAAAGATGAACTTTAAAAAGCAGTCAATTGGGAGAAATGTAGCCATCTGAGCTGTGAAAGTATCAATCTTGAAAAAAAGGAGACCAGTAGAAAATTCTGACCCATGATGAGTGACGTCCGGGTCCCAGGCTGCACCTGAATCTAGAGATTCCTGGCCAACATGAGAGTATTGTCTGCAAAATGTGAAATTGGCACACCATTTTACGTAACTAGCCAGCACTGCATATGATTCTTTGTTTTTGTTGCTGTTAATTTTAGAAAGGGTCTCATGTAGCCCAGGCTAGTCTTGAGCTTGATAGGACCTTAATCCCTGATCCTCATGCCTTTAGCACATGCTGAGACTCCAACTGTGTGCTGTGAGGCGGGCAAGATGGCCCAGCTGGCAAAGGGGCTTCTGCACCAAGCCTTAACTGGCTCCTCCAAGTTGTCCTCAGACCTCCCCACACATGTGGCACTCACACAAAATACAGGTGTGCGCTGCCATACCCAGTTTGTCTGTATTTAATGATGAGATTTGCCTGTCGGGGCTGGAGAGATGGCTGAGTGGTTAACAGTGACTGCTGCTCTTGCAGAGGACTCAGGCTTGGTTCCTAGTGTGGCACCCATGTTGGGCACATCACAACTTCCTGTAACTCAGCTCCAGGGGGATCCAGCCTCTCTGGCTTCCATGTACACCTGCACTCACATGCACATACCCCACACAGACTCATAATTAAATATAATAAAAATTTGGATCAAGAGAGATGGCTCAATGGTTAAGAACAATTACTATTCTTGAAGGGGACCCAAGTCCAGTTCCCAAAACTCAGGCAGCACATAACCACCTATAGCTCTAGCTCTAGGGCATCTGACCTCCTGATGTCAGAGGGTATCTGTACAAGTGCACACATACACACCACACACACACACACACACACACTAAAAAAATGTAAGCTAAAAAAAGTGCTTATTTTACCCTAAAACACATACAGGGAAAATAACAAAGCTGTTAAGAGCAGGCATTTGGGAATTGGGGATCAGAGTATGGCTCAGTGGTTAAGCACTTGCCTAGCATGCATGAGATCTTGGGTTCAATTCCTAGTCCTGCAACAAATCTGTAAAACTAAAGCAGTGGGTCTGGAGAGATAGGTCAGTGCTGTGGGATGGTCTGTATGTCAAATCTGTTGCTCTGATTGGTCAATAAATAAAACACTGATGGCTAGGCAGGAAGTATAGGCGGGACTAACAGGAGAATTAAGGGAACAGGAAGGGAAAAGGAGTCACTGCCAGCCACTGCCATGACAAACAGCATGTGAAGACGCCGGTAAGCCACGAGCCAAGGTATAAATTTATGGAAATGGATTAATTTAAGCTATAAGAACAGTTAGCAAGAAGCCTGGCACAGCCATACAATTTGTAAGCAATATAAGTCTCTGTGTTTACTTGGTTGGGTCTGAGCGGCTGTGGGACTGGTGGGTGACAGAGTTGTCCTGACTGTGGGCAAGGCAGGAAAACTCTAGCTACAGGTCAGGAGTTAAGAGCACTGATTGCTGCTCTTCCAGAGGACCTGGGCTCAATTCTCAGCATCCACATAGCAGCTCACA